TCTAGTCAGTGATGCTGGCTGTCTTGTCTTTAGACGCGTCTCCTCCGCCTGGGCAGCGAGGTCTTGTAGAGTGACTTGCCTTTGGCCTCAATGTAGGTGATACTCATCTCTTTGCCATCAATCTCAACATAGACAAATCCGCCCTGAGAAGCAGTATGACCATAGAAGAAGCGCAGGTAACCAGCAGGAACTTGATGGAGGTGTTGCTTGTTGTCATCCATGAAGTTGCCTGCTCCACTCAGCACATGGCCTAAGCCACTTTTGTCCTGCAGGTACTGTGGGTGGGAAAGAAGGAATATGGTTACACCACAATGTTTGTCAAATCACTTTTGGAATTGGGGCATCCCGTCAGTCCATCATATTAGTGCCTGCAATCATTCTGGGAGTAACATTTTTGGGAGGTAAGGGTCCAGCTCCCAGCCCAGTCAGGAATCTGGGGAATAATGTGGAAATCACAATCGCCACAATAAGAGCTGTTGCAAGAACTAACGTTCCATCTGCACTGCAAAAATAATCTGGTTTGGCACCACTTTGACTGCCATGGCTCTATGCTATCCTTAGCATGGCACCACTGCAGTCAAAGTGGTGCCAAACTAGATTATTTTTGCACTGCAGATGGAATGTTAGTATAGAATGTATAGAATTGTACCATCAATCTACCTAACAATCTTATAAGCTTTTTTTAAAAATAATAAATTTGAATTTTTTAGTGCATTTTCCCCATTCATACATACAAACATAGAGAATTCCTTGGGGCTGCTTTGCAAGGCATTGTGTGGCACAGCAGAAAACACAAACTTGGAAAAGTGAGGATACAGGAGATGTGGAAACACATTAGCAAAGAAGTCTTTTTCTCTCCCACAAAGGGAAATAGGCTGCAGACCAGGAGCAACCACAGTAGCCACAAAACACACAAGCAGATCACAAGGTAAAAACTGTCTTTTTGTATGCTGTTCTCCTCTGTAAACCACTTATAGCCCTGGTGATGAACCTATAGCACACATGCCACAGGTGGCACATGGAGCCCTCTCTGTGGGCATGTGCACTGTGGGACTCACCTGCCTCTCTGCCAAGGGCTCCTATCTTCCTTTGAGGAGGCGGCAGAAGAGGAGGAAGAGGAGGGAGGAAGGAGAGAGGGACTTGAGCATCCATGGATTTTGGTATCCTAGGGGGGATCTGGAACAGATCCCCCACGGATACCAAGGGCCCACTGTACAGGGTGACCATATGTCTTCACCACAAAGGAGGACAAGGCATCCAAGAGAAATTGTAGGCAATGCACAATAAAAGCTAAAGACATTAATGTAAATTTGTGCTTCTTAGCCATGCTCGAAATGGAGGACATTTTGGAATTCCTCCTGGAAAAGTAGGACATGTCCTGGAAAAGGCAGGTGTCTGGTCACCCTGTGCCTAAATTATGTTAATCCT